CCACAGGACTTCCATTGGTCCACGCAGGCTCGGCGCCCTGCTGTACAGCAGAGCACAACCGGCCTGTGACCGTGGTAGCCGTCGGGTTCGCCCTGGGACGCGGAAGTGAAAGGACTGGCACGGTCTTTTCTGTCGCGCGCTAAGGTCCCCTCTACAGGGTTATGGGTTAGGTGCAATCGCTATGGAAAAAGAAGAATAAAATGTCAAATAAAAACTGGTTTTCTTTTGTATGGGAAAATCTGGTGGCCTCAGGCCGCTGTGATGCTATGGTTTCCTTTTCGATTTTGAACTGCCATCATCATTATTATTATTATTGTTATTACCACTAAAATTCCCTATTCTTTCGGTTTCTGCCTGTCGGCCTGTCACTTCGTAAGGAAAGGGGCGCTGCTTCGGGTTTCGGACCGTAACTGCGGCCTTATGGCCTGGGTTTACTGATCCTTTGTATATCACCTGTACCAGACCGGCTTGTCCAAGCCGCGCGGACCCCGGTGGCCAGGTTAAGAGGCAGATACCGTGAGAACAAAAGAAAAAAAAAAAGAGAAAAAGAAAATAGAAAAAAAAGGAAAATTGGAATCTCAGACTCGTGTGTGAGCTCAGGGCGAGGTTCAGGCGAGGCTGATGCACAGAGAGATTTTTGGGACGCAGCCCTTTCCTTTCTTTTCCTTCTTCTATGGTTATTATCATTATTTTATTTTTATTATTATTATTTAGTTCTCTAATTTTGAATTCTGATTGTTGGTGTGTCCTTTCGCGGGAAGCCAACGATTCGAATTTCGAACCACCTATCTGTGGCCTAAGTAGGCCGACCCCACGTATACAGTCTGTGGGTGGGCTTCGATCTGGCATCGCGCGGCAGGACCTCAAAAGGAGGGCGACCCGCGGCCGCATTGGTAGGAGGCCTATCACCCCCTCCTGTGGAGGGTCATAAGCCCCCTCCTTTCCATCGGACACGGGTACCCAACAGAAATAGCACAGTGCTCTCTTTTAAGGTGAAAACCTGACGATCGGGATCTCGTTATGGGACCACCACTTTAGGGTTGTAGTCGTTTCTCGGCGAGGCGAAGCGACAGGGGTCGATAGCAGAAAGTCTGCAGTCGCCGGTGGTCACTGAGACTTCGCTATTTTTATTTTGATCGATTTTTTTTTTTAATTCTATTGCTTATTTCAGTTAACTAATTATATGGCCCCAGGTTACTAGTGAGCAAAGTTTCAGAGGGTACCTCGTTTAGAACGTTGGGGTCACAGCATACGGCCGATCGTATAAAAAGGGGAAAAAGAGGACTAAGACTTAGCTATCTAGTGGCGGATCAGGAGGGCGCTAGTGGACTGCTTCGTCACGTTAGTACGCCAGCCACTTTGCTGTGCGAGCGTTAATCGACCGAGGTGGAGGATACAGAATAGCGGGCGTTTAGCGGATGCCGATCGTCTGTGCCTAGGACCAAGGTTTTGTCTGATTTTGAGACCAGTCATGGCGCTGCACGGCTATAGGCCTGGCAGTTGGCGACACACGGTGCGCTGGGTTCCAGTGTCGGGTGAAGGCCCTCTGCTTACGACGACCCTGAACTATGATGGGGGAAAGGTAGTCCGACTGAAGGTCTGCATAGAAGGGGGGAGAGAGGAGGAGATGCGAGGTGACCAGAGGCTGCAGGTTGCCATTTCCGAAGCGCGCGACAGGGCGGAATGGAGGTGTAGACGAGACGGGGTGACCGTGGGCTTGAGGGTGACGGTCATCTATCATGAGACCGAGTCATCAACTGGGACTGAGACAAGGGAGGAACAACACAACGAGAGAGACTCAGGCGGGGAGAGTGAAATGAGCAAGGCGGACCGGGAAACGAACCTCAGGTCCTGGAACAGACCCGGGGAGATCCAAAAGCACCATCGAGCCGCGGAGCCGGTGGAAAAAGGACCTGAGGCCAGCTCTCGACAACTCATGCCCAGAGGCCGCGGAAACAAAAAGCAGCAGAACAGGGGGAAATGACGCGTGTGAGGCAGCTGCACGAGGGGCGACATGAGTACGCGTGGCACAGTCGAAGGGAGACTTAGAGGGAGAGAGGCGGTTGACGTCAAAGCTAGCGGACAGTGCACGAGAACAGAGAGTGAGCCTACTGCTCTCGTCGGAGAGGGGGAACAAAACGAATCTCGAAAAAAGAGGCAAGTGCAGTAGGACGGGGACATGCTTGGGGACTCGTCTGACAACGTGGCGCGCCAAGAAGTTCAACGAGAGAGAGAGAAGGTGTGCGCGAGAGGGCCTGGACAGACGGGAGGAACTGACGTCAACAACTGTCCCCATGACCGCTCGCTGTTTTTGGTGTTTACTGAGCCGCAGTGAGTCTTCGTGCTGCGGCGAGAGATTAGGAGAGATGGTGTGTGACCGTGCCGAGTGGCCAGAAAATGAGTCATTTCCTGAGTTGTTTTTGCGGTCTACTTCGGGAGACTAGCTGGGGAGGGACAATGAAGTGAACACTACTCGGGAACACACGCGTGAGTGCACACTCGGCAGTTGAGGCGTGGCAGGGACAAGAGGCGCGTAGCAGAAGTCAGCACGAAGTGCGCGGGAAGACGAAGTGAGTAGGCGTAGTCTTTCATGAGCTAATCAAGAGAAAGGAGCTTGAGCAGAATAATATGCTTGCACTAATACAGGTGCTCTCGCAAGCTAACGCTCTCTGCTCAGGTCTTTACGACCTCCCTCATAGCAGCCCTGAGTATGGACTGGCTATTCACTTCAGTTTGGGTTCGCTCGATTGCTACTTGTTTCTTTCGGTAGACTGATTATAGTGAATAAATTTTGTGAAAGAGAAGTGTGACACGCGGGTCTGTACTACGGAGTCCACTGGTCTGCGAAGTCAACTTGTCTGGCCGCAACTATTGGTGAACGCCAGAGGTAGTGGCTTCGTGTGAAACTCGACTGATCCGATCGCACACTCTGTGAGAAAAGAAGAGAGGGGGTGACAAAACAGAAGAGGGAGGTGATACGAGGGGCCGTGGTTTTTTAGTCACTGTTGACGTCGACTGCCTTGAGAAGGACTGGCTTGCTACGATGAAGGGAAGGACGAAGTTATCATAGTAACCCCGGGCAATTTCTTTGCCGACATTGAATCCGTCCGATCACGAGCCTGCCTGTGCCCCTCAGGGGACGAATCCTTGGCTCTTGGGTTGGGTCAGTTGGTGTTGCATAGAGACAAGGTGGCTCCCTTCATTGTATTTTGTGACGGACGGGTGATAGTAGACATTTATCCTAGCCTTGTTATTGACACCAACAGAGTTAGGCTGGAGTGTAAATCAAGTAACGAGGCTAACTGGATGGGCGCGGACCGCTCTTGGTGACTGTAGTAGTGGTTTATGCCTGCGAATGCCCAGCCGCAGATACCCGCTATCAGGCTGCGTGAATGAGTGTAGGAAGGAACGACCTGATTTTTGAATGATGAATGATATCTGTTTAAACGCGTGTTGGTTGAAGAGGAGTGTTGCATGAGGACTTACGACTCTTAGTTTTGCAGAGTTTGGTGGGCAGGCGACCTTCTATAAGTAGACCTTAATGACCAATCAGGTGGCATGCTAAAGGATCAACTAGATAAGGGACTACCCTCTCTTGAATGATCATTGCCTATGTACGCTTATTCTTGCTATCTCGTTCTGGTTGCGTCATCCTCTCCTTCGGATTAATCAGTTTTGTGTGGTCTGAACCTCTTTCGATAAAATTTCATGGGTTTCACGTCAGGATGAGAGTTGGTGATACAACGCTCTGATTGAGGCTGGTGAACCTGATGATATGCGTTGGGCCACTTTGTGCTTACCAGTCAAGCTCTAATCTACCAGTCAGGGAGTTGTATCGTCGGGGAGAGTGGCTCTGTGGCGCGAGAATAACACACAGAGCTTTCTTTCCAGCCCACGGGTATCTCCCCATGAGCGGGAAGAAGTCCTTCCTGAGGAAGGTTGCGTATCTTCTCGCCAACCTTTTGCTTTACGAAGATTAGTTGCATGTGATGAAAGTGACCGAACTGCAATTAAGCCTTCTATCCCTTCCAATTTCCTGTAACCTCTCGGAGGGTGAATAGAATAGGGAACGGGAGGTATGATGAATGAAAATATTGGACTACACTGAGCGGGTAGACACTACAATGTAAAGTGACGTGCCTGAGTGTCCAACAAGTTTTGATCATAGTAAGTGCCAAGTGAGTGTTGGCAGTACTCAGTGCTGGATGAGGTCCACTCTGTGCTCGCTAAGCACCGCTCCTACACGTTGCGTAAGAAAGAGTCACTCCGGACTTCTGGGGAGGAATACGGTCCCTCATAAATTCTTAAGCAATGAACAGATAGTGTACTAGGTGATGGACGGATAATGAAGAGATAGTGTACTAGGTGATGAACGGATAATGAACAAATATTATTACACAAGAAGGTTGATGAGGTCTGTCGAAGGAAATGGCAATGGAAAGAAGTCTCTAAAAGCTGAGCCTGTTTAAAAGTTTAAGTCAATTACGAATCTACACAGTTAAGCTCTCGCGACCTTCTTGCAGAAATTGAGGGGTGGAATGGGTTCTCGGCAAGAAAAGACGGTGTAAATGAAGCAGCTGCTGACTGGAAAGTGTCGCTTCCAGTTAGAAGTAAAGTCACCGTCACGTTTTAGCTGGGGAGAAAAATCCCTGTGAATACTTTGAAGTTCCCTTGTTTACTCCGCTTCGGGTTTTTTACTTCCTGCTCAGCGTTGATGTTCAAACGGTATCTAGCAAGAGGGTAGTTATTGAGTGACATATCGAGTGAAAACGGCTGACTAGCAGAGAACTAGCCACATAGTTGAGGGACACCAGCAATACTTCGTCAAAGAGGGTCGGGTTCTAGCAACAATCAACTGTGCTCCAGCCAAACCCGTGCCGCACGTGAATGGACACTTTGTACTGATCAAGTAACCGGCAGTAGGTTGGGGGCTTTTAGTAAACTACTGACAAGTTCTGCAGGAAGCCCGTTAAGGCCCTCGGGTGACAGCTGGCTGTTGGGCCTGAGTGACGAGCCCCCAACCGGGAAATATTTACACAGACCGCCGAACTCAGCAGTGTCCAGGCTTCGCACGTCATCAAGCCTCTTTCTAGCCCTGGTACAGAAAAAAGAACATGAATAATTTTAACACTCTAACAATGCCTTGTTCATCCAACTGAGACTGAGCTGAAGGCTGGGAAAAGACAAATACTGAGGACCTTTAGAGTTGCAAGAGACTTATGGGAACTCGAGTACTAAAATCCATGAAAAAGCAAAAGTTTATTGAGTACGTTATCTGTTATCACGTTTTAAGTGGAGAGTTACATTGCTCATCATCATTGGTGGAGAACTGTTGATCAAGCAAGAGAGGTCGCGAATGACTAGTAAAGAATTCTCCCTTCACAGTTGCTCAGTATCAGGAAAGCGGATGACAGTAAAAACTTCATGTCTCTTTGGAGGACTCAATCACAGCCTCAATTTACTGACTCTCAGACCTGGCAAAGATAAGCTTTACACAGTAGGTAGCTCAGACAGTGAGTGATCACGTATCAATTCGATAAAACTTCCCTAACCATTATTAGAAACTGACCACTGGCCTTGTGACGTGGTCGATGTGACAGTCATGAGGGAGGACGAAGTCCTGGTAGTGAAGAGTGGAGTGAACAAAAATAAAAGAGAAGGGTGGGTGAGAGAAGCGTGCCGGGACATAGAGTTACATAGGAAGGTTCAACGTGAGCACGCGGTTCAGAAGGTGAATGGTGAAAGGTACATCGAATATGTAATTTACTTCTATGGAGACAATGAAAGAGCACACAGCGCCAGCTCTTCCCTAGAGACGGTGGAAGAGGCCAGGACCAAGCTCGAGTGAGCTTTGTAACGCTCCAATCACCACCGTCTGAACTCTATCTGCCTTGAACATCAGCAAGTTGCATCCTCCCTCGCAGCATGGTGACATGGTGAGTCATGGATCTTTGACAGATATTTTGGCAGTACTCTGGTAGGCACTCTGAACAAGTACCCATAACTCGGAACAACGTTCTGAACAGTATTCCTGACAATATTCAGAATTTGAACAGAGCATTCTTGGCGGTACTCAGAACTCAGAGCAACACTTTTGGTAGTAATCAGAGCCCGGAAAGGATGTTCTATCATTATTCGGTTGCTACCCTGTTATTGCTCAATAATTACCCTACTGTCTATCGGTCATAACTCAGTAGGCATTTAATCAACGAAACAGTCAATCAAGATGGCATTTAACAGTGGTTTAGTCGTTATTTAACTCAAATTCAATCAACAAGAAAGTTAATTCGAAGGACAGTAGACTGGAAACAGCAACGAGGGACAGCAGTCTGAAAACAGTAGTATGAAAACAACACTTCGGGGCGGCAATCTCAGAAACAGCAGTCAAATTGGAAACCAAACGGCAGACAAACAATAACCGGAGAAACAACAACCAGGAACAGAGACAAGAAATAGCAATCCGAAAAGACTGTTCTAAGCGGCAATCAACTCAATAGCCTTCTCATGCCTGAATCATCCATGAGTCATCCATCTCGAGTTGGGTGAACTGGCGTAGCGATAGATCAGCGAGATTATGGAGAGTAGCAACACAGTTAGAGTCTCCTGCTCGCTGTATCAGAGCACTGCGGAGACCTGAAGGGAAATGCAGTTGAGGAATACAATCTGTAGACTGCATTGATGATGGAACATGCACTGTCCCTCGTGAGGAACCATACAAAAATCGAGTATACATACTACTTGCATGACAAGAACGACAGACTATGTGCCACCATAACTTCCGTGGGCATTATTGAGGAGGCAAGGAGGGCTGTTGGCGGTCACTAGCGAGCACTTCATCTCTGAACAAAGACATCTCACTTATCTGGACATTGAAAATCATTTAATCGACAATCAGTCTTCAGCAATCACTTAATCAACAGTCATTTATTAGCGATTAGTATCCAGCAATCAATTTCCAGCAATCAGTTCCAGCAATCAACTTGCTGCAATCAGTTTGGTAGCCAGTTCTCCTGGATCATCTGGTTAGCTTGCACTGGCAAGAGTACTCATGAGCACAGTTCAGTCTATGCCGGTTAGTGAGTCAGTGCTGACCAACCTCAATCGGATCTCATGCAAGGAGACATTTCATTATCAGTATGTTAGTGCCATTGGTTTCAGACAGGGAGATCTGTCAATCTTCGTTGTCCAGACTAGCTTTGCTGATGACACTATCCACGATTTGAGGCCTTATCTGAGGAAGGGCAAGGAGACTCATGAACTTTTTTATCCGGTCTGGATCTCAGCTACCGAATACCTTGAGCAGAGAGAGAGGGAGCTCGATGAGAGTGGCGTTACGTTGATCCGCAGCTTCGGACCGATGCTTTATACTAACTACCCTAGGCCTCGAGTCCCTTCTCTTCTCACCGATGACACGAGTTGGCTGGATGTGATTGGTTTGGCAAAGAGGTACATCTCTCCTCGGTGATTGACATTGAGGCGTTGACTGAGCCCACTGAGTATCCCTACCTCAGACGAGGGGTCTTTTCAGTGGACGGGCTGCCTACATTGTGGGAGGATTTTTGCTCCATGGTTAACTACCGTGTTATGTGCCTCGGATGGTCGTGCTCAGAGCTTGCTGGCCACAGGTGGCATTTTATCACGAAGTCTCAGTCTCAAATTGTACGTGGGCATGGGTCTCGACACGAGAGAAGATCAATGAAAARAGATTGAGAGAGACTGACYTGAGGGATGAGTGAGGACTCTTRAGAGGTGCTGACCATGYCTGTTTACATGTACTTTCTGATATTATTATGAGTTCTCATTCTTCCCTCATTCAATTGCCCATGTCTTTGCTCGAGTCAGTCAGTCTTATTTTCTGCATTATTCTTGCTTGATGATTGCCTTCGTGGATGTTTTGTCACAGTTCTCAAAATCAAATTGACATAAATGGTGCATGTACTACACCCCATAATTTTATGATTATTATTTGCATAATTCTCTGCTGTTCTGAATCAAAATAAAACATTTCTAAGACCGGGGACTGGCGAAGACCGCAATTGAAGGGTCTCGCTCGAAGCCGGACGAACACAACAGGAAGGGATTTGCATTACTTAATTTATTTTATTTATTGCAATCTAGTACAAAATCCTGCGTGACAGCCTGTTGGCTTTCCGGTTAGCCGAAGTGGCCCGACTGGAAAAAGTGCGACAAAAATGGCGCCGTTGCCTTGGACATGAAAATATTTTCGTGTCCGGAACGGACCTGGGTCATCATCATCTTTGAGCTTTGATTATGACGCGATAACTGTTGACATTTCTGTGAGCTTCTTGTCAATTTTATTATTCTCATTTAAGTCCTGATTTTCTTGACAATCACAACGGCTAACTGTGATTCATTTTTTCCTTGTGTGAGGTACCACACTGGATCGAGAAATGAGATTGATGTTATTGACTGGAGAGAATCGAGCTTGATACCAGGTATGCCCAGTTATCGTCCAACACACTGAAAGAATTTGAAAGGAAGAGAGTGAAACGGATCGGGACAGATGCTGGTCGATGGTGCTCTGAAAGAATTGTCTAAAATTACTGCAAAGGGAATATTTTCTTTCAGATATGAGGCTTGTTGGGGCTATCACCCTCGTGGCTCAACCATAAGTGTAGTGCTGACTGACTTCTTGGAGGGGGATATTTATGATATCCGCCCATATGTCAAGGAAGGAGGCAACAATGATGGTGAAAAGTTTAATTGGTTATGGGAGATCGTGATCCAATTTATCTATGATGGAAAGACAGACTTGATCAAGCAAAAGAGGAAAGTGGAATCGGGTGTAATGTCAGTAACATACAAGACTGTTTCAATCCCTCCTATACCTGATAGCTATTGTGAATAGACTAACTGACTGTCAATAATCAACATGGTATTGACGAAGGAGAAAAGGAACGGTGGTCATGAGAGTTGAAGAGATTTCAGCAGAAGTAATTAGACAAAGAAGGTTAAATTTTGGCAGGGGTTCGGGTCCAAGTCAAGAGAAGGTTGAATGTCTCCTAACGTCGTTGAATACTCTGAGTAAGAGAGAGGCATTTCCATATGAAGTTGTCAGGTATGAGATGGTCGAGAGCG